AGCCGTGGCCGCTGAACCATCCCACATGGCACGGGGCTGGGTTTTTCCCCACTTCAGGACAGCTTTTGCTGCCTGGCTCCAGCAGCTTGTCCCCGCAGGGGCCCTCTCAGGCCGTCAGGCTTTGACTGACATCTGTCCGTCATCTCCCTGGCAGCTGGAAACACAGACAGCGGAGGGGCCCTGCGGAAAGGACAGGCAGGGGACAAGCCCGAGCCGTATCCCCTCCGTAGGCAGCTCTGCAGCCGTCAGAGAGGGCACGGGGATGCCCTCCCGCGTCCTCAAGCAGACCCCGTTCTCATCAGCACCCCTGAGCAGCGGCTCCTGCTCTCCCTCGGGTGGCTCATTTTGCACGGTGGCCTCGAGCTCGGCCGATTTTGCTCCGGCGCTGGGTAGCACATGAGTCACATTTCCTTCCAACGCCCATCTCGGCTCCGTGCTGTCGCTATTTTTGGAAACTCTTGAAAGCGGATCAGCCCTAAGAAGCACATTTAATGAACACTCTTGCCACGCTGGGCTCGCGTCCCCCCGACGTCTCCATGTGGCAGCCGGGGAAGCCGCCGGCAGCCCGGACCCCGCGCTCCCCTCGGCTCGGGATGCACGGGAACGCCTGCGGTGGGCCTCATCCCGCAGCCCCTCCTGGATCATCGGGGAGCAGAAGCAGCATCTTGGTGGCAAAATATTTCCTTTTAAAGGGCTTGTTTGGGGTTGGGGGTTTGTTTGGCAATGCCGGCTTGGCATTGATCACTTGTGCTCCCAACGAGCGGATGAGAGTTATTTTTACTCTCAACCTCCAGTATTTTAGCTGGGGCTGCAGTGGCTCATTTAGCATCTCTAAGCAAAAACGGGCAAAATACAGCTCCAGAAATCGATGGCTGGATGAAATTAGAGGCGGCCAGGGCCTCCTGGCCTTCCCAGCTTGGGAAGGAACTGGTTTTACGGGGCCGCGGTGGGGCTGGACCTTTCGGAGCAGCGCCTGCGCAGCTCATCCGTCGCTCGGGGACGGCCCAAGGTCAGCGGCCGTGGCACCGGTGCTGCCGCCGCCCCGGCCAAACCCGGGAGCAAACTCAGAGGGGACGCGGGCAGGCGCTGGCTTTGCCGGGCCGGCGCCGGCTTTGCCGAGCCGCCGCTTTTGCCACGGTTTTTGGCTCTGAAGGTTTCACCTGGAGACAAGCAGCCCCCGCCCTCCCGGTGCTGCCAGGCTCTCAGCATCCCCGACCTTGCTGGGATAAAATTAGCCATTTCGCTTTGAATTAAAGACAGTTCAGCTGAAAGCAGCCCG